GGCGTCTGTTTGAGCTGCATGCTATGTGACTCTTCTCCACAATCTCTTCTTATGATTTGCCTCGTCTGATTTAAAGCCATGGTAGGATGTTATAATAACCATTTTTAAATCTGCTCTTTTAATTTTGTTTCTTCCTTGGATTCTTATATCAATTTAGCACGCATAAAGACTTTCATATAATCACATATAATGAGATGAGTTGTTTAGTTTTGAGTTGTATCAAAGTTCCAGTCCCTTTGATGCGTGCCATTTTAATTAATGGGTTAAATAAAAGTAGGAAATTTCTGTATCCTCGTAGAAAATCACCGTTCATATCGTCCCTGATGAAAACATGCGCAGCTTCTTTTTTACTTTCCAGCAAAAGAAGGATCCTTACAATGAAATCCAAGAAGGAAGCAAAATCTAATCATTGTCATGATGATCAAGAGTTAATAGGCCAAGAAATAATCTAGCAATGTGTTGTTTAATTATGTTGTGGTTTTTGTTCTTTTTGCAGTCGCAGTACAATGTATGTTTCAAGCAAGAAAATGGTATTAAAAATACAAAAGCATCCATCTCTTTGCCTTTCACTGTATAATAGGGGCAGTCCACCCCCAGCTTGGAGTTTTTAAATCTTTTTAAACTCTAGGACCCCCCTCCCTGCCCTTGTTTATCTGAGACAGCATTTACTATTGTCAAGGATGTATATTTATCTTAATTTAATTTTTCTCCCTAATAAATTTCCCTGTAGCTCATGAAGACAGTATTTGGACAGTTTCTTGGGGAACAAGTGACAAGGATGGGACAGAAAATATTGTAACTGGTGCAGTTGATGACATGGTCAAATGCTGGAGATGGTTAGTGTTGCAAGGAAAACTTATCCCATAGAGCTCCTATTTCCATCATTTACTTAACTTTTTTTCAGCATTAATGAAATGGCTCTGATTTAAAAAATTAATGGTTGTTATGAGGCCATGTTAGGGTAAAATTCTGACATTAATTAATATGGGCTTGAAACAGCGACATAAGACTATATCAAATGGCGACAAATGACATAAAGATGGGCTAAATACTGACATGGACATAGCTAACTCCTCAAAATGCAAACTGACTTTATTTGAAATTCAGACTAGGGAAATACATGCATCCCCCACCCCCCACCCCCACAAAGAGGACCTCTGTTGTACATGTACATGTAGCCTGAATATGAATGAATGAGGTATCTTATTTTGGATGTGAACAATGGAAACAAATGGCATAAATATCCCTCATTCTACACGGCTAATTACACAGTCCTTAAACAAAACACTTTCAATGCATGCCATAGAAAAACTGCAAAAACCAATTTTGATTACACAGACACTCACAAATTTGTTATTAGTCAGAGATTGTACAAAAAAATAATGGCTTGGACATTGCTCACTCTATAAGCCAACTACACTGTGCATGAAACACGTTATTTGATTAAAAGAAGTTTGCCTTGTATAGTGACCCCGACTGGAACTTGAACCACTCTGTTTGATATATACAATGTACAGCTAAAGGAAGAAGTTATGTTAAAACATAGGTGATCATCTATTTTCTGAGACTGTTTCACGTCCTACAGAAAACATCTGTTTTCAAAGGCAATGAAGATGTGGCATAATTATTCCCTAAGCCTTAATAATGTTAACACCTGATTGTAATGAAAACTATGGATTGAAGTTGGTATTTTGTTTATTCTGTAGGAGTGAAGACAAATTGGAGCCTAGATTTAACTTTGAAGGACATCAACTTGGAGTAGTGTCTGTGGATATTAATTTAACAGGGACACGTATCCTACTTGCTCAGAAACCTAGTGGATTTTATTACTTGTAGACTTATCAGGGCCTGGAGTTTTGAACTATTTCTATCTAAGTTAGATGTTTAAATCTAACTACTGTACTAAGATGGATTTTCAAAGCTGTGCTCTAAGATAAAAAAAGCAACGAGCCTAGTGCTTTGAACCTGTGAAATCTAAGGTGCCCGGTACTATGATTTCTATCAAAAAACAAAGATTTTCTAGTCACTGAGATGCAAAATTAGGCTTCAGGGGCCACCAGACACTGCTAAAGCACAGCCTTGATTTTAAACTATCAGTTTCATCTTAGCAATTGAAATTAATACAATAATCCTGTAACATCTTACTCACTGTGATGCAAATCCTTGACTAAGCGTGTATAACAGTTGCTGCATCAAGCTCACTGGACAGTTATATCAGAGTATGGGATCTAGAATCAGGAAAGCAACTGAAGGCAATTGACTGTGGACCAGGTGGGGCTTACAGATAGAAACCTTAACCAAGGGTGCTTACCATTTACAAAAACCACCCAGGTGGAAAACGTGTGCACAAACATAAAACTATATGTGGTGGCGAATAATCCACTACAATGTATATGTTAAAGGTCAAAATAATATTATATTCAGGTTAAAATTTTTTAGCCTAGGTTGATTCTCAATTCCTGTGTCCCAATTCATGAATAATCAAGGATAGGTGACAAAGTAAATAGAGAATCAACCTAGATTAAAAAAAAAATTAACCTGAATTTAATTTTGACCTGTAACATCAAATCAGCTAAACAGACGTCGAAAGAACTGAAAAATTTCATCCATTCAAATCACAGCCCATGTTTTTTGAAGCTCACCAAACGGAATGGCGCAAGCCATTTGATTTTCAAACCAGAATTTCCAGATTTCGAATTTATGTATTAATGGTAAGTACCCCAAGTCTTTCTATAATTGATCTGAAAGCAGCCCATTTATAGATCTTTACAGTTACAGAATAAATTTGTAACTGCAATCCTGATCAATCTTTGATCTCTTTTTTGTAGTTATTTGATCGAATTGGATCTTACATGTTATTACCAGAGCCGAGTTCTTTGAAGGTCAATTGTCACTAACCGTGGTTAAACCCATCATATATTTTAATCCCAGTTCCTTGTTCTTTTTCTTTTTCAAAAGCATTTTTTTGGATAATTTGCTCTAGTATTCTTTTTAGAGCATTCAATCATTAAATTGGACACAAAAAGAATAAAAAGCTGAATTGGGTTTTTACGCTGTCATATCTGAATTCAAATTTTGCAATAACTCTCTCGCCGAATGCATTTGACTACTTAAGGTGGCTCGACTGGATTTTTTAGGGGGGGATAGCTCCCAAGTTTGAGCATTAACCATGTCGGCATGAGTAAAGATACAGTCGAATCTCTCTAATACAGACAGCGAAAGGACAGAGTGAAGTGTCCGTATTAGAGAGGTGTCCGTATAAAAGAGGTCACTATGATAATGTCGCTTTTATGACTCCACTTACAGTTTTAAGTGTTCAGTAGCTAAAGCCAGGTTCACACTCGTCTTTAAACTGCATTCAAAGTTATTAATTCACATTACAAAGACACTGTCTTTTAGGAGCAAACAAAATTGTGCATCTCAGCAACAGACAAATTACCGTATTAAAACAAAAGGAGCTACAGCGCAATGCTGCATGTAAAAAAGTTGTAACATGAAGCACAATACTGAAAGCTTCTTTCGCTATTTTGCAAGTGCAGTAAACAGTAACTAGAGTACAAAATGTAATAGAAAGATCTTTATGCTATCTGTAGTTATTGAAGCCTTCAAAAAGTCGGGTACAGTGTATGTTCCTCTGTACACCTTTTGCAAATCTTTGTTTGGTATGCAGCAACCCTGGACAGTGACTGGGCTTTATATCACCTTGCATAGCTCATCAGCCAAACTAGACAGGATTTTCCCTGAGCAGATTCACCTGATCGGGATTTGGGATTCACCCAATCACCGCAGTGTCCGTAATAAAGAGGTTAAGTTTATTTTAATATATGAATCTACTCTCTGGGGCTGAGATTTAGGGTCTGTTGTCCGTATTGTAGAGAGTCTGTATTATAGAGGTTTTTTTTTAAAGAAAATATATGAGAATTTTGTTGGGACATTGGAAACTGTCCATAATAGAGAGGTGTTAGTCTGTACCGAGAGGTTCAACCCTATGGGAAAAAGGTTACCACAACTTTATTATAAAAAGATGAAAATGTCTTATGATCTGAGTTTTATTACATCAAAATTGCCATGGCGATGTAATGATGCCATTGCAACAGCTATTTAAAAGTGTTCCCTCTTTCAATGTTCTTGAAACTTGCAGGGTACATTTATTGACAATTGATCTCGGGATTGTGAAGTTTATAAAAAAGTGCTATTTCACCGTTTTTGTTATTCTTAAAACTTTGTTTCAAAATATTTCCAAGACGCCCTCATAGAATTTGTTCAAACTTTGCCATAATTGAGGCAATGATGGTAGGTACATACTTCCTTAAGCGGTTTCTTTAAAAAACTCCTGGTACAGAGAAACACAAACATAAATAAAAAATGTAAAAGCGTCATTATGTTGCCATGGTAACTCTGTAATAAAACTCAGATCATAAGACATTTTCATCTTTATACAATACAGTTATGGTAACCTTTTCCCAGTACCTTTACTGATGTCGACGTAGTTAATGCTCAAACTTGGGAGGTATCCCCCCTAAAAAATCCAGTCGCGCCACCTTAAATGTACTCTTTATTAGGATGCCTTCGCATAAAATTCACAAACATGTTAGTACATACATGTAATTTATTCAAGTCTCTTTAAAAGTTTCTCATTCTCTTTTTGAGCAAGAGCTCTGATGATTCTCTCTGTTAATATTAGTTTTGTTTCAGTTGAACATTTAAACCAAAAAAAAGTTTTACTAACAAACTAAGAAAACCCTTGAATAAATTCAGGAATATTATTTTTTGTCCTATAACCAATCATAGCAAAGATCAGGGCATATGAGGTAGCCAAAAAACCCAATTAATGGAGGGTCCACAATAGGTTATTCGATTCCATAGCGGGTTTAATATGTTTCCATAAAAGAGAACATTTTCTTGGTCTATGCAACCAGTGTGTTCATTCATATACATTTTCCATGACCCACAGTCAGTGTAGAAAATTGGCTTCATTGCTTAATGGAATCTAGCAGTAA